GTGCCGCTAAAGTTTCGTCGGAACGAATTTACGGAAAATCAATTAACAAACGGAGACGTAACAGTACTATGTTGCACATATAAATACCGTTTCATAAAATATTTTTGTCTCTTCAGGACCTGGTGGTTAAGGCGCTCGACTCCCAATCTGAGGATCGCGAGTTCGAACCCCAGTCACCCAACATGCTCGCTCTTTCGGTAGTGGGGACGTTATAATGTGACGGTCAATTCCGCTGTTCGTTGGTAAAAACAGTTGGCGATGGGTGGTGTTTTTCACTGTTAAATTAGGGACGGCTAACGCAGATAGCCCTGGTGTAGCTTTGTGCGAATTTGAAAACAAACCAAACAAGCTCTCATCTTCCAACCCAACCGATGAGTTCTGGTGCTAAGTAATATGCAAAAAAGAACTATAAAGTTAATTTGCTTTTATAACAGTTTTAGGCCTACCGATTTTTCTAATATGTTGCCGGTTTTCAACAATTAACAATTTAATCCATATTGTCGTTTTATTATTATGTACATCACCACGAGTAGCACAGCAATACTAACTCTAAAACACTGGATTTTTTCTTAAGAAACTACTTTTACCGAGTTCTTTTTTAATTGAAAGATTTTGAACAAATAACTTCAATGACGATTTGTGTGATACTAGGTAAAAAAAAACATTTTAGAAGTAATGTATGAATCAGATTATATCATAATGCATTTCTTTATTGTAGAAAGTATAGTTTTTATAAGTATTTTATTTAAAATGTACCATTACAGACAATTAAGCATACTAATATTTGAGGTAAGAGACTGATGGAACATAGGAACGTATATATATTCATAAGTTTTGGAACAGTTACATAACAAACGAATATTTCTGTTGTGTTTATTTAATTTACAAAATCAACAGGGATTTGATAGTCACCTATGTTTTCACACCAAACATTATTAACATTTTTATTTCAATTCAATGGCGCTTACTGGGGTGAGGAGGAGGGGGGGGGGGGTGACCCCCCAGGCCTTAGGTTTTTTTAGGAAAATGTAATACGTTTGGTTAATGGCCTATGTTTATTGGAAATTACTAATATTAATATATTCTACGTTTTTGTTTTCTTCATAATCCACTGTCTGTTACGTAGTTATTAGAGTTGATGTATGATCCCTGAAACGTGCTATGTCATCAACAGTTTATGTATTTTGTGCAAAATACGGTTCGATTTGGCCCCCCACCCACCAAAGATTTTACTTAAATAACACCAACGTTTCAATTAAATTCTTCGTCCTGTTCGTGGCAGGTTATTCTACCCCAAAGAGTTTCAATAAATTAGTTAAACTGAATAAAATTCTATGCAACAGTTTTTATTGAATTTAATAACAACAAAAGAACCAATATAGCATCATAACGTATAACAGTGCACGAAAACAATGACAAAAGTTTTACAATAAAACATACCGACAAAAAATTATATACTTTTGGCTTTGCATTGTCATATCAAGTAACCAAAATTTTTTTTGTAAAGCAAATGTCCTACAGAATACTGTTTACACTTCTGAGATGTCTCAGTTAAAATTAAGTACTGAAAAACGGAACAAAGTGAAAACATTTTTTAAAAAAAGTACTCTTCTGGCACATTATCTTTATTCAGGAAATGCTTATGTTGATATCATCTTAGTGAAAGACATTATAAATTAAATCTTGGCGAGAAAAGTCCATGACGCTGTAGTTTGTTTTAACCATCTTTCAACTTCCTACCTGTAAGTTTGTTTTATAATTAAAGTATTTTTTCTTTACTAATTATATAAAATATTTAACTAATATTATAGCTTCAAACACATATACCTTGTTTCTCAATCAGTGTATGGAAAGGACAGGTCACAAACAATATATACATGCTAATGCTTCTAACTAGAAAGAACAATTTATTAGAAAAAGGCAAGCCTGATGAAATGTGTTTTGAGCTAGGTCTTATATAAAATCTGGTTACGATTTAATATCTATCACCTAGAAGGAAGATCTCGTACAAATTTTCAAAATCTATTTTTACTTATCATTGCTCTACCAAATCTCTAATTAATGGATATTCCTCTATTATTACTTTATAACGATTTTCTTTTTTGAAAATTTCAGATCTGATAATAATATAAAAATGCAGAAATATTTGTAGGGACTGAAAAACAAGATTAAAATATATTTAAGATCAAGTTTCGTTGTTCTTTTATTTCATTAAGATTTGGCCAGCTCTTATCACAAATTTTGCCATACTAAGACTTTCTGTTTGTAGTTAAAATTACCTATGACAAAATTTTACATAGACAATATAACAAGATATTATCTATGGATTAAAATATACAATTTCTACACGAATTACATTTCTCCTGAGACCCCGGAAAACCAGCATAGGCAATTTCATTAAAAACAGTTGAGCTTTAATCCTGAGCAGCACCATGAAGAAAATTGACTCCCTGGTGGCAACCAAAAGAACATAAATAGACCAGGTCGATTTTTTTTAAGATCACAAAAAAGAGATATATGATAAAATACTGACACAAAATGTGAATAAAAAAACTCAACTAGTTGGCACCAAGAAATCAATATTCAGGCAACTGTAACCTGAACTGCACAAGTGTGTGTAAAATACAAATATAACAAGCCTTTAATAACAGACAAAGCTATACTTCATTAATGAATAAAATAATAACAAGATAAAAAAGATACCACAAATGGTACTATATGAGCAGTTTAACTGCCAAAATATAGATTAATTCACAATTTAACATATTTTGAAATATCCATCTTCTCACAAAGATATAATAATAAAGAGATAACTTTTTCTCAGTTCCTTAATGTTTTTTTTTCTTTCTACAACTTGTTTTTTCCTGTTACTAACACCATTTGAGCAATGAAATCTTAATGATTTCACTAAGCATTTAAGAAGATTAAAAAGAACTAACAGAGTATCTCACAAATGCAATCTATGGTAGACACAGTTCTCGGGTTAAACGGTTTCAGTGTAAGAAGTGAATTTAAGTGAGGAGCTGTTGAAGTTCACAACACTGATTGCTCAATTTTATGCTTCTACTTGCTTAAACCATCAGTCAAAGCTCCTTCTTACTACTGTTTAACACACACTGTTAATTATGATCGTTGCTGCTTTTTGTTACAGTACAGAATCACTGTGTTAACGTCAATATAGTCAACTCTTCAACTCACAAATATATCTTCATCTGGCCAACAGGCTTATTATTTCTGATCTACAATGACACCTCTAGTTGGTAATAACTTCGGTTCAAAAGACATTTATGCCGCTTACATTGATCACTTAGGCCCAAGAAAGTTTGGTGTGGGCAGCACATTGTTGTGGGAATTCATTTGACAGCCAAAAGTGTCAGATGCATAAAGCTGCTGCTGGAAATTGTGGAACTGCACTGCATATCCTGGATCAGCAGTTGTTCGATTGTAATTTATGGAGGGTGGGAGAGGTTGACAGGTGTTGGAACCTAGTCCTGCATGAGACACTGAATATGGTTTGTCAGGAAACCCTCCTTCCACTGTCATGCCAGGTAGTGCTCTTCCACCAGGATATCGTGCAAGTTGTGGATGACAGTGGATAGCATGAGGAACCATCTGCCCCTGATACAATTGTGCCTCTACACATGGCATATGCTCAGAAGCTGACCTCTGTAACATTGGACCATTGGCCATTCCCACATGTTGGATACCATGCATACCAGTCACTGGACCCATGTCTGGTCTTATATGTGGGCCTGGTTGTGTAGGGTCATTCATTGGAACTATCCCAGGGAAATATTGGAGGTTCTGGGTGGGAACCTTACTGTCTAAATTAGTCAAAGGCATTGCTAATCTGTGGAGAAACTCCATACTTGGTGGACACTCTGACCCACGAGTTGAAGGAACTTGTGGCCTAGTAGGAAGATATTGAATTGTATTGGGTGCAGTGGCTTTGACCTGAATGTTGGCACCATTGACAGATTGTACTGGCATTTCTGGGAGGCAGGGTATTATTCCAGGCCTGATATGCAAGCCCGAGGTGTTCATTGTTTGGTGACACGTCACTCGTTGTCCCGTAGAAGGATGTAACATGTGAGGGCTAGGTCCTGAAGATCCCATAAACATTGGAGGTGTTGGAGAAGCCGAGCTGTGTACAATTGGGTGACCTGTTGTGACAGATGAACTAAATGTTTGTTGTCCAGGTATAATTGATGGGTTTGGTTGCATTGATGCAGTTGTTACATTCTGAATGTTTACCTGCTGTATGGCCATTGTAGCATTCACATATGTATTATTTACAGTCTGAGGACATGCTCTTATATTGTGGGCCATTTGAGAGTTCTGTAGATGTTGTTGAGATCCTGCTGTGTGCTGGTCCATAGTTTGGTGGAGACCTTGCATGGATGAATTGAAGTTTACTTTTTGGCCCTGGTTGGCATTCCCTGAGAAAGAACTGGGTTTCGTGCTGGATGTATTCATACTTGCCAGCATCTGAGAGTTTCCATCCAAGTCCACAGATCTTGTAGAATCACAATGATTGGAGGGTAAAGGTTCAAAATGAGTTAATCTGTGTGAAGCCAAAGGTTGAGAAGCAGGTTGTATAGGAAGATCATTATTTCTTCCTGGTGCATTTGATGCAGATACTAAGCCTACTGTTGGTTTGCTGGTTGGAGGACTATCAAAAGGAAGTGTCATCTTCTGTAAGGACTGGAGGTGTGATGAACCTGCAGGAGTAGACATGTCTGGATGGTTATAAAGTTGAGAATCTAGAGGTTGAAGGGGAGACTCAGCAGGAAAATTTGGCAGGGTCTGTACTCCTTCACCAAACCTACGTCCAGGATCAACAGTCTGACGCTCTAGCTTACCTTTAGTATCAGCAAATGTAGCTTCAAATCTGGTCCCAGACGGAGCTCCAGGATTACCAGTACGTATCCCAAACCTAGCTTCAGTATCAATAGGGGTTCCAAACTGAGTCCCAAGAGGGGCAGTAGGAACTCCAAACCTAGCTGCAGGATTGACAGTAGGAACTCCAAATCTAAGTTCAGGATTGACAGTAGGAACTCCAAATCTAAGTTCAGGATTGACAGTAGGAACTCCAAACCTAGCTTCTTGATTAGAAGTATGAGCTCCAAACCTGATTTCTAGGTTAGCAGTATGAGCTCCAAACCTAGCTTCTGGGTTAGCAGTAGGGGCTCCGAACCTAGCTTCTGGGTTAGCAGTAGGGGCTCCAAACCTAGCTTCTGGGTTAGCAGTAGGAGATCCAAATCTAGCTTCTGGGTTAGCAGTAGGAGATCCAAATCTAGCTTCTGGATTAGCAGTAGGAGCTCCAAATCTAGCTTCTGGATTAGCAGTAGGCACACCAAACCTATTCTTTGGACCAACTGTTGGAAACTTTTGCAGAATACCTATATTATTAACAGATGTGGTCATCCCTGGAGGTTGAGCTACTTGTCCCATAAACTTGTCTGTTGATGCAATCCCTGCCAGACGAGCCATTTGCTCCAAACTGGACTCCTGAGGCCCTGGGAATCTTGGCAAGTTTTGTGGTATCAGCCTGTTGTCATGGAAACCAGCATTGTTGGATAACCCCCCATCTTGTGACGAAAGTGTGCGAGGTCCACTACAAGCAGTAGAGGTGCAACCTGAACCAACAGGAGGACCTCTACTTGGCATATAACTCGCATCTGTATTACCAGGTGGTAGCCTAAAATTAAAATAATACCCTACTTCAAAATGAGTCCTTCACAAAGAGCAATAAACACTAATTGTTCAAATGTACTTTCCAATCTACGATTTCTTAGAAAATATTACAAAACATATATAAAGATTTTCTCTCTTAGCATTATACTTGTTGTAAAAAATATCACTTATTTTGTTAACTTCCGAGACACACAATCCGACTTTCTACCGGTACTCGGACCTAATGAAATATTCTGTTCAAGCTTCATTACGAAGAAAGACACACCCTGAAATATTTCTTTTTAAGAACTCAAAGTTTTACTTTCTTCCACCATAATCTATCCACTTCATTTTCTATACCATAACAACACTTTTGGTTGTTCCAATAACATAGTTTAAAGTTATGCAACATCTATAAGTACTACCGTAACCATGTTAAAGTAACTTAAGACTTTACCAATTATAGATCTAGAATTTATATTAACAATGATCTATAAAATTTGTGAAAGGCCAACAATTATAAGATTTACAGTCGAGTATTACTGTTGTTCATCAACTACACTGCTGAATATAATACAGTTTTATGCGTGAAGATCTGGATTAAATCCTTAGAATTGTTGAGCACATCACTGTTAACATGTACAAGGTAACAAGTCCCATAAGCAACACTATGAGTAAAGTAACCCCCTTTTTAAGGAAGAGTATTGTTTTCCCATTGGTGTATCCCACAAAATTTGAGACTGTTTTCGATGCCTTAAAAGAAACTAGCAACAATTATATTATTGCTTCAGAAAGGTCACGTGACTAGTATCACGCCACGTCCTTCTCGAACCTTCGTGAATTATCGGGAGACTACTAGATTGGGGGTAGTCTGGTATATATAAGACGGTCACAACATGACAGAACAATGTGTAATTGAACTGAGTATTGTCGAGCACGAGCACGTGACATGTTCTTTGAGAATTATAGCATTTGTTATAGCGCGACTGTTGAAATTAAGTGTATCGGTAAAGTTGTATTCGGAAAGAATAAACCAGTTTTATTTAAGAAAGGACTTGTGTCGCTAAAGTTTCGTTGGAACGAATTTACGGAAAGTTAATTAGCGAACGAACGGAGACGTAACAATATGTTAACTAAGTATGAACTGGAAAGTACAACTATATCTTTATAATTCCTATACTCTCTTGACCAGTGTTCCCTCTAAGCTCCGTGGCTGCACAACAACCAATCAAGTGCTGCACACATTCTCGTGAGGAGCCTCAACATGTTGATGGCCTTAATGACCTTAGCAGTCGATAGGCCTAAAGCCCAAATAACCAACTGGTAGAATTACAAAGCGGCCTAATGATCCAGTAGGGTTGATGGTCTAAAAATATCCCCCTCCCCCCTAACAAAAATTGTTAGCACACATTGCCTTGATACTGGTGCACATGAAAAAATTCATTCTGCACATGGATTGAAAACAATTTAGAGGGAACATTGCTGTTGACCTTTATTGACTTTACATTTCATAAAACAGCTGTTATCATTCTAATTTACTCAAATGCGCAACTGTAGACGTACAACTGACAAGCCACTTGAATAAGCAATGTATCTCGTTTCTTTTTTTTCTTCACGTAAATGGTCACTTTAACTATATGGTCTAAATACATGTGAATATTGAAATAAGTATAACTTTCTCACATATCGACACAAATAAATAATACTTTTACAATCTGAACATTATAGTTGCCACAAGTCTACTTACCCTGAAGGAGACACTGTGCTCGGGTCTCTAAGATTAATATTAGGTTGTTTCTGTATAGTTAGTTCTTGTCCTTCAAAAGCTATTTGTTGTGGGGAGGGTACAGGCATTAGGTTTGGCTCCTTGGTCAGCATGTTGGAGAGTGCTGAAGCCATCTTACAATGCTGTGGTGTAATTGGAGGTGTGTGGGTTAGGGGTCCACTGGAATTTGGAAACGTTCCACCTTCATAGCCAACAAAAACAAATTATCTTGTTTTATACGATAAAACTATCCTCACGACAACTTAGCACGAAATACAATGGTTTAGTTTTATTCATTCAAACTATCAATATAGTGACTCAGCATGAAATGCAATGAAGTCATCTTGATCACATGTATACATCTATATCTGATTTATTTACTCAAACTAAATTTTGAGTCAGTTTGATCAGGTTTTTTTAATCAACAATTAATAACTGCATAGATGAGAACTAAAAGTATAAATTAATAAAACCAATAGTATATAAGAAACTGAATAGAAGTAAATAATGCCATTAATCAACAGATAAGAAACCTGTAATGAATCATCAAGTTGGGTATACCCTAATTGTAACAAACATTCAGACATAAACCCAATAATACCTGACAACAAGTTGAGTCAGCTTAGCAGAAGATGTAGCCTTGTCCAAAATCCATAGACTAAACCAACAATATTCAGAAGTATAATAATTACCAATAAATAATAATAATAATTATAATCAAAATTATTTTTGAAATTTTTTTTTTTGAAAACTGAAATATGCTGGTTTTGTAAAATCTGGTTGTGTATACTACAAGGGCTGTCAAAAAAGTTTCTGGCCTGACCTAAACACCAAACTGAAATGTATGATTTTTTTTCTAATAAATGTTAAGTTTGAACCTTTTTTATATATATATGAGTAAACAACACATAACGCATGACTTAATGAGCTTATTTTATGTGTTGTGGATTTTTGAAGGAAAGAAGTGAGCAGCGTTAAACATCATGGATAACGTCGAACTTCGTGCCGTGATAAAATATTTTGTTAAAAAGAAAATGATGCTGCAAGACATTCACCAAGACGTAGAAGCAAAGTAAGGAGAGAGTAATCCAGCATATTCCACAGTAAAAAAAGTGGTGTGCTGAGCTTGGTAAACAATCACGTGAAGATGATCCAAGGTCAGGTCAGCTCTGGACATTGACCACAACAGAAATTATAGATGAAGTTCATGATTTGGCTATATGCGATAGAAAAATTACCATTAGGAAGTTAACAGAGGAAGTAAGAAGTATTAAAGGACTGTAGTCAGCATTTTGAGTGACAATTTGGGCATGAGTAAAGTTAGTGCCACGGAGGGTGATTGAGTAATTCAAAGCCAGCATCACGGATAGTGTTCAAAGCAAAATGTGATTTGTAAGCTGGGGGCACTTTCCTGATGGGGAAGCAATCCTCTTCAGTTTTCTTTGATTTCTTGATTTAAATTGTTGGTTAACATGCATAGCAATCTCTTGGCATCCCAAACAATTGATGCCATGACCTTCCCAGCAGAGGGTTGTGACTTGAACCTCTTTGGGATGGTTTAACTTGGATATTTCCATTGTAAACTTTGCGTTTTTGTCTCTGGTTTCATCCATAGTTACGAATCTATTGAAACCTTTGGAGAAGGTGTTGGCTTTGAACAACTCCGATTTAGATTCGTTTCTGCTCAGGTTATAATATTTTTGGAACTTTTACTCACCAGATTTAGTTCCAAGTGACTATTTTTCTCTTCCTTAACCTTAAAATCTTTCTGAAACGTCGAAGCTTTCAGAGTGATGACAATCTTGTAGATACTGTCCAGTCATGGATTGAGGACCAAGAATAAGAGTTCTTTCAGAAGGACATAATGACCTTAAAGCACTGTTAGCACAAATGTATAGACTCAGGAGGGGATTAAGGTGAAAATTAATGCATAGTAGAACCAGTGTCCCTTTTCTTTATACGTTAGACCACAAACTTTTTGGACACCCCTTGTATAAATTTGTTGATTTACATATCTTGTTTTTGGTAAAGTCCAATGAATTTTGAGTTAATATGATGTAGTTTTTGCTGAAGGTAGATGCGCAATGATGGATTTTGACGATCTTGTTATTTTGGAATTACATATATATGTATATAAAATTAAGTAAATTGTACATTGATAAAATTTGAATACAAGGCTTTATCTATTCTTTTTACTTTAAAAGGATGTAATAAATTTCTTGCTAACTACCTAAAACTCAAAAATGTCCGATTTTCAAAATGTACATTTGGAAGTAGGAAGATTACAATGTTATAATTCAAAGTTTCAGAACCCAAACACCTTACCTGAACCATTGTTCAGAGACATGGTCTTTGATGGTGGAGAGATTAAAGAGTCATTAGTAAGTGTTCTGGTAGTAGTGGTGTCTTGAAGGAGTTGCTGAGTTTGTTTTCCCGTTGAAGACATCTTTCTTTTCCCAGAACTTCCCAAACCTGGGGCAGTTATAGCATTAGGAATGGATGTGGTACTGGATGGTATGCTTGTGGGAGTACAGTTTATGTTAATGAGATTAGACATAGCTGCTAAGCTACCATTTGGTGGAGTAACTGAGGAAGAGGTAGTAGTAGAGTTAGCAGAGTTCATGGTCATGTTCATTAATGTGCCACATCTTGGGCTACTATGGGAAAAGCTTGGGCCTGGCATAGTGGAATAAGTATGTTGGCAAGAAGGGTCAACAGGAGAGGTAAATCTTGTTGATGAAGAGCTAGGTGGCAGAGATCCTCTAGAACCTTGAAGATGAGAGGGATTCAGATGTTGATCTGGATTTGAATTAGTTACTCCTTGCTGAAGGAAGAAGTGACCACCTTGCTGTGGCTTCTTCTGATCTTCACAGGGATAATGGTGAGGATGGAAGTCCGCCTGGGCAGTTTGAGGTCCAAAAGGCACATTTTGGTGAGAAAGAAATGGGGGTCTCACGCTAGAAGACAGAGAAACCATAGCCCTATCAGAAGGTGGGTGGGTACAAGGGTGATCTCTTATGCCACACCCTCGAGGTAGACATGGCACGTCCGTTGATGACGACAGCCTTTCAGGCAAACGGAATCCATTCTGTCCAACTGGCATCATGCCCCCTGGAGGAGCCTGATATTGATTTTGGTCCGGGAACAAAAGTTGCTGCATCTTTCTAATAGTAGCAAGCTGTTCTTCTCGATGCTGACGTTGTTGGGGAGTAAGATTCTCATTTGGGATCTTAACACCTTTTAAAGAAATAAATCAATTTAAAAATCACATTCACGTATCCTCCTCAAATAAAATATGTAGTTAAATATAGACAAAACAAATAATCAGTGACATAACAAAACCTACCGTGACATATCACACTTAGCCATTTTCATATTGTTACAAGGCTGAAGTTCAAAGTACTTCTGTAAATAATTAATTAAAATGCTCAAACAATCAACATTTTTTAAGTGCACAATTTTAAAATTTTTTTGAAACCATCAGAATAGCCTTTAAATTGACAAGGATATATCCTTGCTATGTGGAAACTAACCAAACAGAAATCTACGATAACGGAACTTGTAAGTCAGGGAACAAATTTGTTATATGGAAGGATTAAATTCCTTGTTACAAATGTTTGTATCTGTAACTTATAAATTTTAAATATAGGTTTTTTGCTATAGAATTTTAATTTTGCTCTTGCTTCATCGATTAGGTTTTTAATCTTATTTACCCCACCTTCATGGTTACTGCTGTAAATAGTCAATAATATTGTTGGTCCATTTTAATGTTGTTCTTTATAAGCACAGTTATAATATACTTTTCATCTTGTATACCTAATTATTGTTATAGCAAGTATATGATTTGGATATGAAATTTGTTTACGAATGGCAATTTGTGTTTTTGTCCAAAATAACATGTGGCTTAAAGACAGTTCGCTTACTACAAATGTGTCTGTCTTGAAAGTATGTATAAAGAATGACTGGAAATCCCATCAGTGCAACTAGTAGCGACCCCTACTGACTGGTGTATAATTAGCCTACAATTATGCAGTTTTGGAAAAACCATAACCTAATGAATATCGTGGACAACATCTGAGTCATGGGAGAAAGTCCAAGCATGAACTATGACCAGAGTGTGGAGAAATCTATGACCCGAGTGTTTCCACAATTCTGTTGGTTTTACCCAACCAGAAACTATTCTGGAAATTCATGAAAACATTGCAAATGATGTGGGAATTGAAGATGTCCTGGAAATGACTGCGGCAGAGTTGCTCCAGTTTCATGGAGAAGACTTTACAAATGAGGAACTGATACAGCTGGAAATGTATTATGGGTGAGGAGAAAGAGGAAGCTGCACCTACCCCACATCGGTTGAATACAAAGCAACTCTCCGAAACTTTTTCACAAAGACCTGTATAAAGAACAAGGCATTCAAAGCAGTTATCTTTGAATGTATTTCATGGAAAAAGTCCCTCCAGTAGCAAAATAACCAAGACAGAGTTCCTTCATTGGTAACCTTGCCTGCAGCCGAATCTATTACCCTTTCCTCTCCCTCCCAGTAACTCCCACACATCTCTCTGCAAAGCCACCTCACGCAGCAATAAGCACAATCTCTAGTAATTGTTGAAAATATTATTATGTAGCATTATTTGTATTTCTTCTCCTTATTTTCAGTAACTTTTAAAACAGGTTTTCTACATTAAGTGGGTTTTTACTATTTCTTGGGACTGTAGGAACGCATCTCCAATTACATAATAAGTGTCTATGAGAAAATGGGTTTCCCTATGGACAATTTTTCAAGAACACATCTATTCTGTATATTGAAGGATGGGCGTAATTAAAAATACTGACTGTCCGAGCATTTTAATTAACTATTTTCATATAAAACAAAACCATCTAAACTCCTAGTGATATAGCACAGATTTTTTTTTTTATATATTCAACGAAAACCTCCAGTAATCTAGTGATATAACAGAGATATTGATACATTTAACAAAAACTTCCCATCATCTAGTGATATAACATATATAGTTGCTTTGATATATACCTCAACTTCTAATCATCTGATTATATAACACAAAAAACTGATCAATGTTGGAAAAATTACAAAAAACTAGCTATCTGCTAATATAAGATATGCTGCTAATTTATGATAACACAAATCTGTGATATTATACAGATCTATAGCTAGTCTGTCATTTGATACAAAAATCTGTAGTTATCTGATGACTTTTATGTATCCAGAGATTGGTGACATAGTAAAATCCTAAAGTCCTTTAGTGATCAAAGTTTTAAGCAATCGGTGAGAGAAACAAAAAAAAAGTCCAGTTTTCTGATGCTACAATTTGTATAAAACTGATTGCGTGCACACACACAAACTTTCATTATTTTATCAGTAACATCCTTTACTGACAAATGGTATAAATCAAATAGATATACACTTTGAATGATTAAGTAAAATAACTGTCAGGTTGTATGGATTCCGTATGAAATGTAAAATTTTATTTCGGATCAAGTCGAAACATCGGGATGCTACTACCCACATAGAGAATGAAAAGAATAGACAATAATATGATACTAACCAACTAGTGAAGGTTCATCACTGTTCATGGCTACGTTACTTGGATTTACAGTGTGTTGGTGAGGCACACAGCAGCCTGGATGTGATCCTCCCGTCTTATAGCATGGAATTCCTGGTCTCATCATTGGATTCTGAAATTGTTGTGTCGGTAAATCGCAATCACACTGTGATCTTCCCCATTGTGTTCCTTGCCAAACATCTGTAGATCGACACTGACTTCCCCATACAGATTCCCCACTAGATCCCGAACAAGCACCCGACCCGTGAACATCACATGGTCCGATCCTAGGACAACTTCCAGGTTGCGAACAAGGGTTGTTACCAAGGGGGGTACAGGAACTAGAGCATAAACTGTGACTGTGGGAAAGGCATGATCCTGAACATGGCTCAGGTGAAAAGTGAGGAATAAATGAAGAGGTTCCAACTGTCTTATCTGTGTCTCCAATCTTATTCTGCCTGCTTTGTTTCATCTGGGCTAGTGTGTTCAGCCATGTTGCCGGGTTTTGTTTGTAAAATTGTTGAGTCTTTACTGGATGCATCTGGGCATGAAAGAAAAACTAATGTCATAAAACGGAAATGTTTTTACAGTCAAAGGATCGTTTTTATATATATTCTTTTGTTACTCGGCGATGTGTTGCTATGACAATACTAAAAACAAGGGTGTAGTGTGTGATGATGACAATATAAGTTATGCCATAAAATTCAGCCGAATATGTTGATAGAAAACTCGATAAGATGCGTTGCTGTGATAATAAGTAAAACAATTAACTTACCAATCTCTATTTTTCTATGTTATAATATATACATATGTCAATCAAATTTTTTATATTACTTAGCTTATTTCTAGTTTGTGTGTGCTAATATTCCTTAGCATATCTTATAATAAACTAATCTGTGAAAGTTTGTCATACAATTGCAAGTATTTTTAAAACTCCTTTTTCAACCTTCTCCTTACAAGTAGGTCAAAGTATGCATGTCACGATCTTTTAGAGAGTTACGTTCAAATTATAATTACACTATTTTATTGTCAATGTATATGAATAAACTTGGCATCAGAATGTAGTTAATAAATCAAATTTTAATATTATACAAGTTTTTAAGTTCTTCATTTTATAAGGAAATGTTTCCAAAAAAACCCTCTATCTCCCACGGTATATGAATTTTGATATCTGTTCTCCAAGTCTTCTCCTTTCTGTGATTTATTTACTATCCCTCTCTGTAATATGGAGTTTAATGTAAATTACTTATTATAATATCGATATTATAATATAGATATATAGATATAATATTATAATATAGATATTATTAAGGCAACATCTAATTTTTACAACCTGTGTCGTTAGGTGCATTATTTAAGTAAGTTTAAACTATTTAGTGTACTAGTACCATTATTATAACAAAAGCAGGCTTAAGTTTCATGGGCAAAAGAAAGCAAAAAAAATTCCCCCCCAAAAAAACAAGAGGTCAAAAGTAAGTACTATATTTCTTGTTTTTTATGTATATTCTTTACTTATCATTACAAAAGTAGCTAAAACACAAAAATTAGAAACTGATTAGGTTAGATAAGATAATGAAAAATAATAAGAATAATAAAAATTCTTCATGAGGTATGCATTACGTCATTCAATATGGTAATGTGAGCTATACATTCACCAAGTGATGTATAACTTGTGTGGTGGGATTATTAGTTAGACACAGTTCAAAGGGTAATAAAACAATAAAACTATGTACAAACAAATGGAGACTATTACAAGCTTTAAGCTATTTAAGATAAACAATTGTAGTTTCTTGTTACAATCGGCTATCATTCTAGAAAGAAAAAAGGTAACTTATATTTATTTTATACTTTTTATGGTGGTTACAAGGTCGGTCAAATCAACCGAGTCGATATAGAATTAGGGTAGAGAAAAGAACAGATAAAATATAAAGTTGTAATGAAAAAAAATTTGATCTTAGAGGTTACACAAAGGGGATTTGAAAATGTTCAGATGAAGTATTTTCATCCTTAACATGAAAATCACTTTGCAATCTGAACAGTCAACACTCTGACTCCATATATTCATGGACAAATCTTTAGTCCATGAATATATTCAAACCAAAAACCTGACTTTTTGTGTGGAAAAAGGCTTGTAATGTTTATTGAAAGCTTGCAAAATTTTGTGATGACAAAAAAATATTAAAAGTTATAGTATGGAAACTCTAATGGTTACTTTTTAGTTACAAGGTCGGTCACATTAACCAGGTTGGAACAGAGGAAGGATGTAATGAGATGCTGGGATAGCCAAAATGAGTAAATACTGGCACATTTTATTTTTTATTACATCAAATACACTCATTTACCTCTAAGAAACGTTTTGTTCCTGGCTGACTACAGTGAAATGCTATCATGGATGGAAATTGACCAGACAGAACAGCATCAGCAGCTTTATTAGCTCGGTTTGTAGAAAATACGAAGATGTGACTCTGTTGTTGCAGGTATTGTGTTTCCATCACATCTGAGGACTTGCTGAGCATATTGTTAGACAATGGTTGGATGGATGCTGATGATTGTGGAGCACTGATTGTTGAATGAACCATGTTTGATATCGCTGAAACATGGGAGACATCTGAAAAATACCCAAGAGTAGAAAACTATACTAAAGATTTAAAGTATAACAAAAAAACTCTTTACCTACTAATGAAAATAAAAGCTATAAAATATTAATACCATGTGTATAATTTACAAAACAAGAAGTTACAAAATGTAAGATAAGTCTTAATTTTACTTGCACTGAAAAATATCTTTGGTCAACATTTGTATTTTGCATATTTAAAAATAAAACAAAGAGAAATACACATAGTTCAAGTTTATAAGAGATTATAAGGTTATTTAAAGTTGAAATGTATAGGGCATTTCTTTGAAATGTTGAAAATATCTATATTTAGATTGAATGAAAAAAAAATGCACATGTACAATACACAGACCAGCTAGCAAAATACATTTTGTTAGACGTTAGGTTAAGACTGTTTTTTTTTTCTGTTTACAAAACTAACCTACCACCAGGTGTCTCCCATGTGAAGATAACAGCACATATTCTCTTTCTCTCTCTAACTTACAACCCGAAAATAATATCTTAATATGAAATATGAGGGATGTTCAGAAGCAAAGAGAATATTATTTCCAGTAATTTAACCATATCAGATTACTACCAACAAACATACACTAACGATGTTGAGAATATGAGTAACCAGAACCACCTTTCAACACAGTCTTTGTAAAGAATAATAATAAGTACAGGCGTGATGTTACAAATCCATTTGCATAGAGATGCTTTAATTGTCTCTGGATGTACAGGTCATGTAACTGTCTGGATGTACTGATCGCGTAACTGTCTGGATGTACTGATCGCGTAACTGTCTGGATGTACTGATCGCGTAACCGTCTGGATGTACTGATCACGTAATTCTCTGGATGTACTGGTGATGTAACTGTCTGGATGTAAAACTCATGCATGACCATCCTTTATAGGACCAAAAAAAAAGATGTAATCACACCAGTATCACTCACAGTTGCCATTTTAAAATGGTGTTGTTGCGTTACATGACATCGGTCATGGAAACACAACGTATGACGCTGCTGCTAACAGCTCATGGATACTGAAGTAAGTCATTCACTGACTGTAATTTACTCATATCCAGTGTATGGGAAAGAGAATCCCATTCTTACTGAACATCCCTCAGCAAAGAACACATGCCTTGTAAACTATTGCCAGATGACGATGGTGGTGCATTTTCTTTGTTACTGCTGCCTGATGCATCACTTCGATTGTCTGGTATTGCAGGAAGATTTGCTAAAGTGTTGGGAAATATCAAGACATGAATAACTTAAATAATTCTACATTCAACATTAAAAGTGAAAATAAATTAGGAAACGTTTTAAACAAAAGTTCTTCGTTTGCATTATTCCTAAATTAATCAGATTCGTAACAAATAAAATCATTACGAATAAAAAAATTCTCTAAGTAGAAATTTTTTTTTTTTTTTAAAAAAAAAGCTAGTATAAGAAAATATTAAAGGATTAAATACTCTATAAAAGTAAAATTACTAATATGCACATCATCAAAGCCCATTACGTATTAAAACTCACAATCTTGAGAATTCTCATGGCTCGGAGTTGTGCTTCCCGGGTTATTGCAGCTTTGAACAGTGCTTTCCGGTTTGGAAGCTGAAGTTTTACGGACTGGGTCAGAACAGCTGTCAGACACAGTACTGGGACAGTTAGTGGTATCTGCGCTACCGCTAACAGTGCCGCATCCGCTTTTATTGTTACACAAAATATTAGCAGACGAACTAGTCATGTTAGCAGATTGAAAATCTAAAGTTACAGTAGCACTAATTAGTGAATTACTGTCACAGTCTTTTAATTTCAAGTCACTTTCTATTTTATGCACGTTTGTTTCTGGCAGAAAGTCTTCAAAATCACTCTTGATACCATTTTTTAATGATTTCACAATACCATTCACATCCTTATGACATTCTATCCCATCCACTATTGCTAAAGCACTGCTGTCACTATGACAACCAACATTCTTTTCCAACATACTTTCCACTTCTTTTGTCTCGCACTTTTGTATCTCCTGGTGCTTAAGTTCCGTTTTCTTTAGGGTTTTTAAATCTTTGTCTGCATTTTCCGAGACCTTTTGATTTACCGCTATAGTTTTGGTTTCCAGGGTTACTAAATTTTTATCAACTTTTTTTAAATCTCTTTGTAAGTTCTCCTGATGTTCTTCTTTTGTTTCCCAAGTTTCTATATATTTCCGAGTCTCTGCTACCGATTCTCCTTCGAAGACCTCCTGTCCTGCTTCTTTAGTCTCCTCCCAAACTTCTAAGTCTTTCTTAATCTCTGCTAATTCTCTCTCTAAAATATCTTGATGCACTGCTTCCGTTATGTTTTCTTTGGCTTGTAACTCCTTAAAAAAGTACAAAGAAATGGTACAAGTTTAATTACATTAATAAACGAGAAATAACAAATGTTTACACTTAAGCAGTTATAGAAACAAATACTTTGGCTAAATCGATTTTTTAAAAAAACATTACAATTGTACAGATATTCTATCATTATTTTAATATCATAGATTTCAGTTGTATTTTGGGTGAAACTGCGTATTTTGTCAGATAATTTGTCTTACTTTAAAAAATAAAATTATTTTTTATAAAAGGGGTAGACAAAAAACAAACTAAGTGTGTAGACTATCCACTATCTTTATTATCATTTAAGAATCATCAACGGCATCTGATCAAAAGACGCTGGCTACAGAGGTCTCGGGTAACTTAGTAAATAATGCTGCTGATTTTATATACCACTCTAACTAAGACTATGCAATGTCTTAAAATAAAAACTTATAACGCAATGACTGATCAACTGGCAACCCTCACCGACAGTGATATCTTTAGCTGTAATCGAACTGCTACTTCTAGTGTAGTATCAATCTGAAGATACATATGTTTACAGTAATTACATTCTAAGCAATACCAACTTTGTACATAGTAAAATTGATAATACATAGCTTTTCTTTCCTATCTAACTTGTATAAAACCCAGTGTGTATCACGTCACACTTGATTTCTCAAAATAGGAAGAGCCATAAAAGTCAAAATGCATTTATCCAGATAGAATAGGTCGATTACCATCTGCCCATTATAATTTAGTGATGGCGGTGCAAGGGGGAATGGGGTGCTGTGAAACCTTATAAGTGTAGTGAGTGTTGGTATAATAAGCTTAAAGACGTAGTGTGGGATCACCTATCCTAGAGCAAAGTACATAAAATTTATCATAAAAGTCAAAATATCAATTCAACTTTAAACTTAAATCATTTCCAAATTAAGCTATTTTCTATTACATCACCAATGTTTCTAATAAAAAATTAATATCTTTAATCAACAGAGACTCTAAGTTAAGAAATCAACAAATATTTTTCCAGTTTTCTAGTCTATACATTTGAGTTTATAAATAGACTAACAACAATATTAGGTTATACTTTTGTTGCTAAACAACATGACATAAAAGCCATTCTTGGAATGTAGTGTTATCAAAATGCACAGGCTTTTCTATATATTATAAGTTGTTAATCTAACTGATTTTTACCAATACTTATGCTACGAATACGACACAAATTATCTTAATTTTGATTGGCTCACAAAGGAATTTACGAATGTTTAACTGCCTCGACTGCGCTTTTCTGTCTTTTTGTTGGTCAAGCTTGATTTCTCAAAATTTATTTATTTCAGTTAGCTATGAAATGTGAGGTTACGGTATACTATGGAGTGGGGTGGCGGTAGTACTTGTCCCATCAATTTTAATGGGCTATATGCTAGTAGATAATATAACTGTCAGCAACTCGTATGATATAAGTTATATTTTACGGCCTTATTCTTATATTAAATAAAGTAGTAAGAGACAAAGAACCAATTTTACTTTTAACTCAGTTCTGATGAGTGGAAATAGTTGGTAGTGAAGATAAATGTAAAGTTCTCGCTCCCTTGGATTTGTAGTTTTACGAAACTGTCTCAGGAAAGTCTGCCACTCGGCCAAAGTCACACAAACACACTCCCACTCTTTACGGCTCGTCTTCTTTTCCCGGTATAAACGTAAATCTACAGAAATCAGTTGCAATAATAGCTGTGTATTACTATGTATGCAACAAGTAAAAATTTTCTTTAAAGATACTTTGTAAAGGTGAAAGTAGTTGAAAATACCAAAAAACGCAGAAGTGATATTTTGCTCATAAATTACATCGAAGAGTAATCAAAGAAATTAAATTATAAAATTAGTTTCTTAAAACTACTAGATGTGTGAAACAGTAAAGAGAAGTTGTATATATTTTTCAGAAAACTCAAAAATTATGTTGTTTAGTTCGAACCGTGATAAAAAAAAAAACATCTCTATTCAAACTATTTTGTATTTATTTAGCATTTATAAAGCAAGAAATACTACTTTATCATTTAGCATGTATTTTTTTTTTTGTGTGTGTGTGATCAGCACTAGCAATTAATTTAAGAATGTTTAATTTTAATAATAATTGTTATATTAATTCCAATTTCATGAAATTACAAACCTAACATCATTATTGAATATTGTGAATCTATTCTGTATGATCACTATTAACTATGTTGGTGTTTTGTAAGTAATTAACCATGCAGTAATAATTTGATAATAAGGGTAATTCCAATGTTAACATGGTTTGTATGCAATAGAGTTTCATTATCAGAAACACTTCCATCTTCAGATTGAAATGTGAACTTTTAAACCCTATAATTTAATCTTTCACAACTACATAAGCAGCAGGAGATTGGTGTTTTGATGGCGAAATGGCCCATGTGAACTCCATATAACCATAGATTTCACCCATTAAGCATGAATTTCATCAAGAAGACAACTATTAAATAGGACTTCTCAAATACTGTTTAAATTTCAATGAAAGATATCGTGGAAAAGTAAAATTGTGGGGGATGTTGGTGGTGTTTAAGTTAAAACAGAATGACATTGTGTACTTTTTTGTTTGGGTTTGTAATTCACAACAAATGAGCAAAGTTTTTGATTCGATGTAAAGCTGTTATTTGTTTTTAAGTTTTTATTTCTCCATGAGGACCACTTACCTCCTAGGTACCAGTACGAGTTGTTAAAAGCATCATGGCCAGCACAAATTCCTCTCTGAAAGAACAAAAAAAACATTTATTTAAAAGAAAAGTGTTCTGAGAATGAATTAAGGAAAAACAAAGTTATGGCTTCATATTTCTAGGAAATTTAGTAGTGTAATATTTTGTTACTTAACTGGTTCCAGGAACATACAACCCTTGTTATAGTACATTATAAAGTTCTTATCTTAATGACTGTATCTACATAGTAATTATTTTGTTTTAGGCTTAGTTTAAGTTAAATGATATTTAAATCATCAACTCTCTATTTTATAGTATAAAAAATGCTGACGAAAAGCTCCGTTTCTTCCATTTATATATTTTTTTCTGCTCTTTGGAATGTATGTATTTCTGGGTTTTTCTGACTTGGGTATGCCTGAACCTGATAAGCCACTAAGCAAATTTAATCTAATTCATCCCCTGAATTACAGGCTAAAGTCAGTTTAGGTCTATGTACAGGCTAAAGTCATGTAAAAACAATTTACAGCCATAAGTCAGGTTAGGCCAAATGTCAGTCTAGTCAGGTTAAATCTGACTACAACCTATCAGGTTGAGCTTGATTTCAGACAAAATTCTGGTTAAGACCGATTACAGCCTAAAGTTACATTATGCCTTAGTGACATTAAATGTGATTACAGTCAAACTCATGGTCAAGTGTGTTTAGGGCATAAATTACAGCCTAAGCCCACCAGATTATAACCTAAGATCAAATTAAGTCCATTTTTAGACCTTAAAGTCAGTAAAACAACATAAGAACAAAAGTATTTTTAAACCTAAAATCACATTAAGATATAATGCATTAGCTACTCTCAAACCAGCTCTCAGACTCAAATGAAGCCACATTATAGGTTACTATTTCTACCCAAGTACATACACCAAAATCATATGTAAGAATTAATGCTTAGTAAACACATCACTTACGAGTATAAAAAAACAAACAGACTTATATTCAACAGACCAGCAAGATGTTTATTTAACTAAAAAGCACTGCTTTCTACACGTTGAGACCAAGAAGACATTCAGTATAACTCAGAAGTACAACCTACTTAAATAATATATATCCACATCTATTAGATTACTATTATTCATGTTACTACAATGTCCTTGATCTAAATGCTGTAAACATCAAATACCAACGGAATACGTAACATAATATATTATAATCTTAAATCGTCTTACCAATTCATCGGCATCATAGTTGTCTTCTAAGTATTCTGCAAGCTCTTCGTTCTTTTCTTGGTACACATGATCAACCAGCCACATCAAAATTGTTAGCTATAGCACGGCAAAATACACATAATAAATAAAGTGTAGCGATTATAATAATTCATCTTTCACCTAATGCGTATGTTACATAATACAAAATAGAAAACATAACGACAAACAACTTGGTAGCCCAGCTAAGTGTAACTACTCTTAATACTCCAACATTGTTTAATTATCTGTCGTCACCAGAACAGTTGTCACGGTGATAGAAATTATCTCTTTAAAACAAAAGATCAATGGAAGGAAAAGAAAACTTAAACTTTGTACGAACAGTTGTCACGGTGATAGGAATGATCTCTTGGGGGGGGGGGGGATAAAAGATCAACAGAAGGAAAAGAAACAAACTTTGTACCCTTTTCCCAACAAAACATTATGGTATAGTGTACAATTTTATTGGATTATGACTTTCAACAATCATTATTATTGGTAGATCAGCAAGGTTAGCAGGAGTTTACCTGTACACAAAAAAAACTGTTCATTACTCTATAAAAAATACTCAACAAACTGTTACTAAACATCTTGTTGATACGTCTCTTTAAAATAAAAAATAATTAAAATTGAGTAGAACACCAGTTATCAATAACTGTCAAATATACATAGTAGAGATGGTTGATACGTGTATTAACAACTTCTATTTTAAACAAATAACAAAGTTTCGACCTCCTTAAATCATCATCAGTTTAAGAATGACGTTTGAAATAGCGACCGTTATTGATCAAATGTCACAAGGACAACAGTAATATTATGTATAAGATTGTAGGTTCAAAATGGGTTTTTCTTTATATATTAAACAAGGGTTATATTCATAAGATTATCTGTAAATTTGAAACACGTGTTACTCGTCGAAATGGAGGAATCGAAACTCAAAAGCAGAGATGATGTTTTCTACTTTCAAACATTTCAGTTTACCACTGATCGATATTTCTTTTAGAACTCTTTCTTTACTTCCCCCTATATTAAATTTGTTGTAAATAGCCAGTAAAGAAAGATTTGTAAACATTATCACCAGTCTTATTGTAATCTTAATATCACACAGACTATCAATCAATAGATCGCACCTTGCTGGCATAAGGTATTATATATACATACCATAATAATCTATCTATTTTAGCTAAACAATAACAAAAATCACAAACAATGTATCTCCTACAGATAAAAAGAATCAAACAATAAGTATTTAATCCAGAAATAACCGTTTCTGCTAAATAAAATGAACAAACAGATGTTAAAATATCTACTTATTATAACAACAATGTGTAGGACATTAAACAATATGTCTTCACTAAAACAGGAAATATACGGTCTTTAATGAGATATGTTAAAAAAAAAACTATTCAAACACTAAATACCCTCTCTCCTGCAGAGAGCTTCAGCCAGCTTCCTGTATCACTGCTTCTAAATTGTACTGGGCCCACTTTGCTTTGGCAGAGTAAATCTCTAAGAGAGTCTTCAAAATTCTTAATTCTGTTAGATAAAAAAAGAATTGAACATTGCTGGTGCTACTACAATTTTAACAAGATAACAAACCATTGGTAATATCACAACATAGCATTTTGTATTATTCTAGGTGTTATTATAATAGTTAAAGCAGGATGACATTTCGAGCTAGTGCTCTTCGTCAGATCATACAGTTTAAAACGAAGTTTGCGAGGAGTGCTAGCTTGAAACGTCATCCTTCTTTAAATGAAAATATATAAAATTTTGGCGAATGTTCAACCTATTATTTAATTTTGATATTTTCTTTGCCTATGCAGTTTTTACTATATTTGTCTTATTATAATAGTTAAATACATACACATTGTTGTTTAATTAATATGGAATTCACGGAGTTATATTCAAACAGAATGCATCACTGTTCTACTGTTGGAACTATACTGTTGATTTATTTTCATAAAAAGCATTGTTGTTTTTATTATTGCATAGAATATAGTTTTGTATTTGAACTAAAATACTGTTATTCTAGTTATATTAAACACTATTTGGTTAATAATGGCTGGAGACGGCTTGAATGGGTAATGAAGAAAAACTTTAATGTAAGTTTAACATAACAGCAAATGTACAACGTTTTGACAAGGTTTTGTCATCATCAGGTACAAGTAATTTACACTCACATGGATATATATATATATATACACAGTATTGAACAAAGAAGTCACATGACATAAAAAAAAAATCTGAAATTTTGTGAGGCCCTAAGCTGTAGCTTGTTTAGCTTATGCCAAAATCAGGCACTGCATGTGATGCCGAGTAAAAGAATCAGGAGAACGAGAGCAACCAATAATGGTGAAGACAAAAAAAAAAAAGATGTAGAAAAGGATCGTATGAGAACAAGTCAACTCGTGGCTTACAGGGAAGAAAATTGATGATGATACAGATAAAGTTGTGGTAATAATGGAAATAGTTGCATCAAAAAGAACACCATTGCAGAGTTAAAAACGTAACCATCAACAAGAAAACCTTATGGTAGGTAAGCATATTTTATGCAAGATCCTTGGACACGTGAATTACGACAAGTGGAGAAGTGTGGGAAAGTAATCTGTGTTACGCAATAAGTAAAGAACACTTGGAAATTTTGAGTCATGTTTTGTTAAAGGCGGGAGTTTAAACTCAAAGTAATCTGTGTTATGCAATAAGTAAAGAACACTTGGAAATTTTGAGTCATGTTTTGTTGAAGGTGGGAGTTTAAACTCAAAGTAATCTGTGTTATGCAATAAGTAAAGAACACTTGGAAATTTTGAGTCATGTTTTGTTAAAGGCAGGAGTTTAAACTCAAAGTAATCTGTGTTATGCAATAAGTAAAGAACACCTGGAAATTTTGAGTCATGTTTTGTTGAAGGCGGGAGTTTAAACTCAATAAAGAAATGCTTTCAGTATATCAGAGGTAAGTCTGCTTGATTTGAAAACGAGTCCACAGGTGGATTATAAAACATTTACCTGCGTAGCTATTGATATGCTGTCCGTTCAGTAATTAGTCCAAATATGGAAAATAACAAGTCTATCTATATATCTGTGCTCAATAATCAATCTACAGGTGAAGTGTGAACCATCCGAGTATTCGGATGGTTCACACTTCACCTGTAGACTAATTATTGGATAGACAAATGTATAAATACTCAGATGGTTCACACTTCACCTGTAGACTAATTATTGGATAGACAAATATATAAAGTATTTATACATTTGTCTATTCAATAATTAGTCTACAGGTGAAGTGTGAACCATAATAATAAAATGTGCAGTACAACGATTCTAATTATAACATTTAACTGACCAATAACAAAAACCATGCGATACCCACTAGTTCTGATCTTGACAATATTCTGTTAAACAACAAAAACCATGCGATACTCACTAGTTCTGATCTTGACAATATTCTGTTAAATAACAAAAACCATGTGATATACACTAGTTCTGATCTTGACAATATTTTGTTAAAATTAAAATAAACATTTACAGCACATTAATTTTTACATTAACAATATTCCATTAAATGGTCAAAAACACCTGTTACAATCTGCAGTACACTAATTGTCAGACAAACAATAAAGAAACATCTTTAGCACCCTAGTTCTCATCTTAAAAACGTCCCTTAAACAATAAACAACACTCGCAGCAAATAAAATTCTCGTCTTACCTAAAAACAGAAAAAAACATATTAATCAGGATTTTTCTTGTCCTAAAATGTGAATTTCAGTGAATTAAAGACAAATGACATAAAATATCATGCATTTTGGATTATTGGTGATGAGTAAAGGATTTTACGTCAAACCCTGAAAATAAAAAAAAATCTTTAATACGCTATTCCAATGTTAACATCATTACACCGATACTTGCAACACATTAGACCTTAACCCATTAACTGCGGATGACGGATTCTTCCGTCATTGAAGTTCTATGGCTCAGCAGCGAATGACGGAAATATCCGTCAGTCGCACGCATATACAACTATAACTCTATGCGAATGACGAAAATTACCATTTTATTGTGATTGATGGCAACTCAGTTTTATCTGCGAGTCAGAAAACGGCAACTGAGCTGCTCCTGCCGCAGTTAATGGGTTAATTAACGTTCTGTTATCTGTTAAACAGCAACATTTGACACCAATCTAACTCTTCCCATAATTTGATTAAGATAAATATAAAAAATGTTCAAAAACTATAAACTATGATGTCCACTGACACAAGTTCTACAGGTCTGATGGAGTCTGTGAATAGCAAACAGATATTTCAAACGTAACACAATAGCAGGGTCACACTTATATATTGAAAAACACGCACATAGTAAATGCATATTTTTCGAAAAAAATGCAAAACACAGCATACAATCAGGAGTTAAACTGGGACTAAACAGTCCACAAAAGAGTTTTGTGTTTTAAGGATTCAAGATATTAGCATTCCTGGTCTTCTGATTGGATGTCAAAGTGGATCACAAAATGAAGTTCCACCTCTTTCAAAATCCCAATTTAACTACTTCACACACACACACACACACACACACACACATATATATATATATATATATATATCAACGCTACAACAAATTATTTACTAATACGTAGGTAGTACTACGGTACCTAATATAAGTAAAGTTAAGTAGGTAATATTATTTACGTAGTACGGTCGTAGTGGTT